GGCCGATTAAAATAGGATGCGGTCTTTATTTGCATCCTACCCTTGGGGCGAGTTCGCTTCTCGCCGGACGATCCCAGCGTTGTTGCTGATTCTGTCGCTGATGTGGTACTTCAGGGTATGAAACTTTTTATTCCATCCTCTGTGGTGCCCATCGTAAGCAGGTCTCATCCATGGTTTGGCCGCTCCTGTAAGCATCACGCTAAAAGCAGGAATGATACCAGGCCTGGGCTGACGCACCAACGTCTCGGGATGTAAACACCAGTGCTCTTAAAAAGAAGGTCCTACAAAAGAGACATTGTCAAGACGTGGTAGAGCCATGCTGTTATTGTGGTTGCAGCACGAATGGGTCGGCTCGACCGGGGTAGGACCACGCTCTCACAGAATACCAGCGTAAAATAGCAGCTTAATGCTTCTGTGTTTCGTATGGTGAGTGTAGAGAACCGGTGACCCTTTTTACTGGAAATGAGGCATTCCATCTCAGTCCTCAGGGGACAACGCATCTGCATTTTAATTCTTAATTGAAGGTAAATGTAGATGCCTATTGGCCACAGCATCCACTTACCATCACGTGGACTGTGTGCTCGTTTGTCACTTTATTCTATAAAAAAGACAAGGTCTGAGCACGTCGGCAGAATTGACGAGAAGCTAGTTCGCCTTCCTTCGGGAACCCATGCATTCTGGTCTCTCGTTAAGAATGTCCAAGGAAACTTCTGTCAGCCATCTCTTCTATTTCTGCAGAGAGAGGATGATCAATGGCCTATGCTGCAAAGGAGAAAGCGGATCTGTTAGACACTCTGCGTGCAACTCGACTCTTGACCACCAGTTTCCTTGCTGATCGGAGCATTAAAGTCATAGTAGACGGTGCATGCTCTGATTACGAGTACAAGCATATTAACGCTAGTGTTTCACGAGACCGTGCTATCACCAACGTTGTTTCTTCTACATATCAATGATATGTTGCAAACTGTTAATATTCATTGCTATGCATAAGACAGCACGGGTGATGACTTATGGCGGCTCTACACATTGGCCAACATAGTGGCGAAAGTTATGGCAAAGATAATAGCCAAGAGTTTGTGATGGCGTCCACACGTTGGAAGGTCGTTTAGTTTGCTTCGGTTCAGGATAATCTGCGACGGATTTGTTAAAATGGATGTTGAGGCGCTAACAGCTGCTGCGGTTTATTTATCCTCAGAATACCGCTACTACGTGACTCATCATCATTATTATAGCCCTTCACAAGTCCACTACTGAACGTAATCCTCCCCCAAGGAATGCCACAAAGCAATGTCCTGAGCCACCTGCATCCATCGACTTCCTGCATGGTATACCAGGTCATACTCCATACCATACCAGGTCGTCACTCCATCTAGTGGGGGGTAGCTTACACTTCGCCTATCGGTACGAGGCTGCCACTCGAGAACCTTTTTTCCCCAACGGTTGTCGATTCTTCGAGCTATATGGCCGGCCCATTGCCACTTCAGCTTACTAATCCGTTGGGCTCTGTCGGTCACTCTGGTACGATTGCGGACATCCTCATTTCTATGTTTATCACGCAGTGGAACCCCGAGAATAGCCCTCTCCATAGCTCGCTGAGCAACCTTGAACTTTCTCATACGGCCAGCAGTGACTACGTGAATGTGTACAAGTAATTATTATTTTAATTTATTTTTATTAGAATTTTTATTTTTGTGATTTTTATTTGTTGGGTTCCACAAACAATTTTTAGTTTGGTAGAGCTCTATAAAGCGAAAAGTTTCATCATTGGTCATTGTTATTGCCATTTGTAGACACAAGTTAGGAAGCGTAAATATAAAATTTAAATCAGGTGCATGCATCGCTCTGAGAGCTCGTAGCAAACTAAACGCGCGCCCAACGTGTGGACGCGGCGGCCAAGCTCAGTCACAATCCTTTGATCTTTTTTAAAAACCCGACACTACACGGATCTTGCGCCAACTTGTGGGTCATCATTCCAATACATGCCAAGGTATTATAACACCCGCTCTACACGATGGCCAATGATATTGGCCACAACATTCGCCATTATGTTGGCCAATGTGTAGAGCCGCCGTTATACACCGGCCGTGCCAATATTTCTCGGGAAACCGTCGCCGAGTACCGGGACAGACTTGTGTCTGAAGTCGTGGCAAATCCCCTTTATGATGCACTCTATGGGGACGTTTATTTTCAGCAGTGGACTTTTATGGGCTATAGTGAAAAAATGAATAACGAACGTGTGGTGATTGCCACGGAGCTTTCGCAATGCGATTAATAAGTTTACATAAGAGATGATATTTAATGGATTATATAATTTTCGCGATTTTACGGGCATTTTCGACATAGAAGTTGCATCATTCGAACAAACACGAGGTACACATTATACTAGCGCACAGCGATTAATTTATTTCATAATTTAAGTAAGTCACACAGCAAGCACCATAACCATAGAATACTATAATACACAATAGAATGGCTGTCAACCTTAGTTTGTACGAGGATCAGCGTCGTCGGGAGCATACATACAAGCAATTACGTCGTAATATCACTACTACAAACCCGATTCGTTGTATTGACAGACTGAGTACATTTACACATTTTAGACTTTTGATTAATGTTCAAGACCATCATTCAAAAAATCGTTCAAATTTTAATACATATTTTTGTAAATAGGATGCAATTTGGCTTTTCTAATTAATTTGCATACGAAACTTGGAAACGATTGTAACGTCAAAACACATCTCGTGTTGCATTTATACATGTGAATAGACATGTTAGTGACATTTTATTGGCTATGCGGGCTCCCCCATTCTATTATGTATGTATTATAGTATTCTATGATCATAACAACCATTGAATCTCGGGAATATTCTTGTTCGATCAATCTCTTGTATTTATTTAACCTTCATTCAGGCGTTTAACCTTACAACGTGCTCGATACACTGTCAATATTGATAAATGTCAATATGGTATTGACTGGGAGAGAATGCCAAAAGACAAGTCTCTGTCTCTCTCCCTCTGTTACCTTTTTATTTAAGGTGTTAGCAGTAACGCATAAATAAACAGTGAGTAAAAATAATAATATGAACAGTTAGTGACAAAACTCGCAAGTTTAAACTGCTTAGATTGTGATTACGTACACGTAAATTTGGCACCGCGCAATATTACACAAAATGTACAAATTGTTAAATACAACTTGGGAGTGTAAATATACAAGTATAAATCGCGTGGCAATATTCATTACTACTACTACCCTAGGTATCTCTTCAGATGTAGTTCGATGATTTATTTATTTATTTCAGAGGCATGGTACAATACGTTGTTGTATTATAACTTTTAGGATTATGACCGGTATCGGCGTAGAAATAGCACAATAAATAATTCTTAGTCTTTTAACGCACTTATTAACAGATTGTAAAGTAGGGTATAACGTGATAATAAAGTTTCAATTATTGTGAATAGTGAGTAATTACATATCTATATTTGAAATTAGAAAAACATTGACATACTTTATGTTTACAGTCATTTTTTATTGAATCATGTCCTTTTTAATACAATTACATTTCTTCTATATCATGGACTAGTTTAACTAACTATAAATTATTTAATTTCTACTATATAAAGGACTAGAATATAACGGTCTAATTCGATCTGATGGACCATGATCGATGGTTGGAAGTTGTTTTATTTCCATACGCCTTAGCCAACATTGCCAAATTGCAAAGCTAACAAAATGTTCATCTTAGAATAGATATCCGCACAGCGATATCGCATATCGCATGCAAGCTGCAAGCAGGGTGCTTTTGAGCAGTAGCTTGCTACAGTAACCAGCACCGCACCGCACCTCGACATTTCGAAGAGCACTTCGCCGCAGCACTAGGGTTAGTTAGGTTAATAAAAAACATTCATATAAAAACACATTTAATGTGAATCGACTTTGCCAATTTTTGGTTCAGTACACTTATTGAATCGGACGCCAAAAACTACATACTTCCATTATACATATATATGCAATAACATTTTAAGCTTACCTATAAATGCCTACATTCATTAATTTCAGTCTTCATACTGAAATTTTAACATACAATAATTCAATATTAATCATTATTCGAAAATTCGCAATTCAATTGCGCTAAAGATATAATTTAATTCGATGACCAAAATTTTGGGGTCTCAAAGCCAAATTCCGAAAAAATGAATGAAAATTAAAAAGTTTAAAAAATATTAAAATGCCTTGCTTACCTGTTACGTCGGAAATTTCCCTAATTGACGTGTCAAGGCCGATATAATATAATTAAAATGAAAATATAATTACAATGAAAATATAATTAGAATGAAAAAATTATAAATTATTGGATTAACTTCACAGGCTTTAAAATATAATAAAAACAATATCACTAGCATGAAATTTTACCGTATCAAGGGCTCACTATATGAACCCAATCTTACGATATGTTCAAGCAAACGTAATAATTATTCGAGCATGTTATCATTTATAAGCCACTCTCATACAAAAAATTTAAAATACATTTCATTCTGCCCGATAACATCTACATACAAAGTTCCTTCTAATTAATAATTTAATAAATAAATCATTTACAATAATAGAAATAGACTTAGAGGAAATTATAATTTTTAAATCATTTATATTATTAACTACTCATATTTTGTTTGTACTTATAGTCCCATCCACACATGAATTTAATAGCCCCGGCACGGTCAACTCAGCCGGAAACAAAATCTTTTGTTAACAGTCCACTCTCCCAGCAATCTAAGACCATGAAGATAATTAGAAGCGAACGGAAGTATAGGGTTTTTAATAAAAAGCACCCCACATCTCTTACACCTACATCTAGTATAACACGTATTAGAATATCACAGAGAGACAATAAAAGTACATTAATTACTACACAATAATCAACTCGGAACATAATAATTTCTTTACAAGTAATTATTAAAGATATTTATATGAAAATAAGGATATGCCAAACGCCTGCGGTTGTTTAACGCACCGAGGTCGGATCCCAAGCGTATTTTTTTTTCTTGTTTCCTAGATTATTGAGGGCTTTAATCTCGTGTTCTGTGAGGCGAAATTCAATAGTGATATTCTCACGGATACGGGCTGGGTCCACGGACTTGGGGATGACTGCCACGTCCTGCTGCAGCGCCCAAGCCAGAAGCACCTGCGCGGGCGTAGCCTCGTGGCGCTCAGCGATGCCCTTCACTACGGGGTCCTTTAAGAGTGTCGTATCTTGATGGGAAGTACCCCCGAATGAGCAGTAGGCCTGCAGGCAAATCTCATTCTTCATGCAGTAGGCGCGTAAATCTTCCTGATAGTAATACGGATGCCACTCGACCTGAGGGTACACAAACATTTTTAACCAACTTCAAAGGACAAAGTATGTCATGCAATCGGGTATATTCAAAATTTGAAGTCTTTTTATTTATATATTCAAGATTTACATATTATATCACTTATAACGACGACGACGACGTTGACCTCTCAATGTACTGAATGGAACTTTTTATTTACATAGTGTAAGTAATGATGTAAAATTAGTGGAGTGAATAAACAAATATTATTTTAAAAAAAAAACTAAATGTGCTGACATTTGTGCATTGGAGAAAACTGGTCCAATTCAAACTTTCAATTTCCGTATTTTTCAAGACTATGTCTTATAGACTTTTACTTTCTGATTAAAATATTCAACTTCAAATTTCGAACAACACCAAACCAAAGTAATGGTGAATGTGTCAGCTACAAAACTTTCTTTTTATTTGACCTATCATTTCATTTTTATCATTGTTTAATCCTCTAAAACTAAAAATTCCAGGTGTTTCTTATGAGGAGCGTATTATTAAATAAAACTCGATTTTACAACGGAAATACAAAAAAGTTTGATGCGGCTTTGTTTTACATAAACTCGACACACACAGTCAGTTAAATTAATCAAGTTGAACTGGCGTAATTAAGGCATCAGTTGAAATGGACGTAAGCCAAAACGATTTTGCCCAGTCACTGGCTTCAAAACGGCCTTCTAGTTCTTGAGGCAGCGACCGAAATTTTGCACCTATTCCTACTAAAGCTAATTTTTCTGTCAAACAATGTTTATACCGTGCAAACAATAAAAGTGAAAGTCTACCAAGCTGTTAGTGTTGCAAACAATTTTTTAAACGTGAAAATAAATAATACGTAAATTTATTATACCTAAAAGACTGAAACGTCTTACAGTGACCAAGGATACCTAAATATACAGGATAATGATTGTCTACCACCTGGGAAACGCCATCTAAGGTTTACCACCCACGTAATGTGTTGAAAACATTGGCATATTTAAGCTTTCGAGGGTCATATTCAAACCGTTATAACTTCTAAACTATCTTACTTAGGGTTAAGATGTAAGACTTACTTTAAAGCACACATTCTGTACTTACGTTTAAAAATAAAATAAAAAAACATGTAACTTGATGGTTTAGATTTTATGACAAAGATAGTAATTTAAAAAAATGTAAAAAAAAAACTTATGTTTGTTTTAAAACTTATCTTTCGCTCTTTTATAAAAAAGAAACGGCGAAATTGTTATCATTGATTTATTGTCTACATTATTAGCTATCAAACGAGTCTTCTTCCGTCTTCCTAGGACTTCTACATTAGTAGCTATGGCATAATCAGTGCGAGCAGCCGTGCCTCGAGGCAATAAAAACAAAATGGCTGCCATGTCAACATGGAGAGAGAGAAAGAAAATAGGGATAGTGATTTGTCGATAAAATTTACCGTATTTCAACCCCCCAAAAACTCCGATACCGATGACTGGACACATTTTCATAAATTACCATTTATTTTGTAAACACTTTTTTTAGTTTGTTAATAAATTATAAAAGTACACTTATTAATCCTAATAAAAAAAAAGTAAATTTTTCAACACATTACACATTACGTAGGTGGTAGACCCTAGGTATCAATGCTTCCGAGGCGGTAGACAATCATTATCCTGTATATGTCGGTAGCCTTGGTCACTGTAAGAAGTTTCAGTTTTGAAGAAATAATACATTTACACATTATTTATTTACAGGTTTCAAAAATTGTTATAAATGTTTGCAACAACGTCGGCGCGGCAGACTGCCAGTCTGTTTACGTACGATCTCAAACTAACAAAATAACAAAGAATCAGCTTTGTAAGAATAATCGCACAAATAATGTCGCTGCCTCGCGGACTATTCATTTCTCGATCGACGGATTGCAAGCACGTGAATCAACTTTCTTAGTCCAAAACATTAGCTTTTCTCTAAAAATTCTATAAATTCTCACTCAACCAAAATGTATGATTTAGAAAGTTAATCCTATAGTAAAAGTTGTTCGTACATTCAACTCTCATTCTGTTTGGCAATTCTAAATAAACACCTGTTTATGTTTGAGGTGTAACTAGGGTAGAGGATACTTGGTACAGTCATAAAATTTAGACAATTGAAATAATACTAGTTTTTACGGAATTTATCGCGTATATTTAACTTTTTTAAATACCCGACGTTTCGAACGCTTTACCAGCACTCATGGTCACGGGCAGGACTGAGATGTTCAACGTCCATATGTCATAGTTAACCGCGGTTACCATAGATTAAAATTTTAACTTTTGTTCCGATCTATGCAGTATGAACTTATGGTATCTTGAAGTCTTGCAGTTGTATGCTTGGGTTGGGATTTAATTTTATTTATTATAGGATCCCAAGCAGATGGTAGCACCCAGCCATCTTCTCTATTGAAATTAGGATGTTTTTTGATTACAATAGCCTCGCGAATCATCCTTGGAAGGAATCGGTGTTCTTTAGCGAGGATCTGCGGTCTATCAAATCTGATGTAGTGATGGGGGCGATCCTGTACGTGTTCACAGACTGCAGACTTCCCGGAGCGTCGATTCTTCACATCAGCTATATGTTCTTTAACGCGGGTTTTTATTGATCTTTTAGTTTGTCCTATGTAGTAGAGACCACATTCACAATCAAGCTTGTACACTCCTGCATCTTGCAGAGGGACATTACACTTGTTCGATGGTAAAAACTGACCAATCTTCTTCAGTGCCTTGAAGTATGTTTTGATGGAAGCGTGCTTCAAGATGTAGCCAATCTTGTCAGTGACTCCTCTAACATATGGCAGTACAGCAGGTACACGCTCGACTGTGGCCGGCTTCACTCGTTCACTGTGACGTAGGCGCGGGACTCGAAGCTTGTTGTCATGCAAAACTTGCTTGACATGGTGGAGCTCTGCAGCCAGGTGTTTACTGTCACAGATCCCTCGTGCTCTCTGAAACAAAGATTTACCCACGGTAGCTAACTGTGAAGGATGGTGGTGAGAATCACCGTTTAAATATCTATCTGTATGGGTCTTTTTTCTATACACAGTATGGCTCAAGGTGTTATCAGGATTCCGAATTACTAACACATCTAGAAAAGCAAAGGAATTGTTTGCCTCTAACTCCATTGTGAACTGAATTTTAGAATTTATAGAGTTAAGATGGTCTAAAAATGCAGTTACTTTATCTAAAGGTAGAATTGTGAAAGTGTCGTCTACGTACCGCTTGTAGAACCTTGGATTTATGGGAGAACTAAGCAGGGCTTTCTCCTCAAAGTCTTCCATGAATATGTCGGCGACAATGGGAGATACAGGTGAGCCCATCGCCACACCATCTACTTGCTTGTAGAACTCCTCCTTCCACAATAGGTAGCCAGATGTAAGGCAGTGTCTGAGTAATATTGCATATTCTACGGGCATGTTGTTTTCTTCCAGCTTTCTAGTTACAATTGAGATGCAGTCTTCAACAGGTAAGCATGTAAACAATGACTGCACATCAAAACTGACCATAGTTTCATTGTCTGCCAGATGTAGGTCTTTAATCTCGCTGACAAAATGGTAGGAATCCTTTATGTGTGCTCTTGTATGTCCCCTGAATGGTGAGTACTTTCGCTAAGTGTTGAGCCAATCTGTAAGTTGGTGAATCGATTTGGCTCACTATGGGACGTAATGGAGCATTGGGCTTGTGTATTTTTGGTAAGCATACAACTGCAAGACTTCAAGATACCATAAGTTCATACTGCATAGATCGGAACAAAAGTTAAAATTTTAATCTATGGTAACCGCGGTTAACTATGACATATGGACGTTGAACATCTCGGTCCTGCCCGTGACCATGAGTGCTGTAAAGCGTTCGAAACGTCGGGTATTTAAAAAAGTTAAATATACGCGATAAATTCTGTAAAAACTAGTATTATTTCAATGTGTAGTGTTCGCGTAAATATAAGAAATCATTAAATTTAGACAAGTTTCTTTATTAATATGTATTCAATTAATGTGTCTCTTTTTTAACGTAAAGATACGTTTATTTTTGTGTATCCTACTTATTACACTTAGACTTAAAAACAATTAATGATAGACTCTTCAAGGATGGTGCAAATAGTTCAAAAATTCAGTAGCTTTATTAGCTCTGATTGACGGCAAACGGAAATAAGCACGCTAGCTTACGGTCAGTTTGAAGTGATGCAAACAAACTAAAGCCACTGGTTGGCTGGATTATGGTACGCCCGGGAAAATCCATTGGTCAGTTAAAAATTTCAACTTAAGATTTCACACTTGCGGTCGGTCAACTTTTAGATGAGTGTCAGTTCAACTGTGTATATGTAGAGAACTGGAAATCCTTTTTACAGTTATGAAGCATTCTATATTGGCACTTACTCATGCGACAACGCATCTGCATTTTGATTCTTAATAAAAGAATGGATATGTATGGGACACAGCTTCCTCCACTTACCATCAAGAAGACAGTATGGTCGTTTGTCAGTTACTTTTATACGGCCACGGATGGACATAGGCCACCTCTCATATCTGCCTCAATGCATGTTGGTGGAATATTTTTAATTTCTTAAATGTGGTTGAAATATATGTAGACGCGGTAGAGCCATATTACAGCTATGTTATTATTATTTTGATTTTAGATTTTATGGTTATCGACAGATGGCATACAAATTATTTCTTACGCTAGATGTAAAATATGCGATAGGTCTTGTACTGCTTTTGTCAATTTGTGTAGTAAGAGGAAAGAATACGTGGCGCGCCGCGCTATATTATAGTTTTAGCACGAATGGCTCAACTTGATCAAGGTCACTTCAATCTCACAAAATACCACTGTAAAACAGCAACTTAATGCCGCTGTGTTTCATATGGTGAGTATAAACCGGAGACCCTTTTTGCTGTAAACAAGGCATTCCATCTCAGTACTTAGTGGTGAAAATGCATTTGTATTTTGATTCCTAATTGTAGATGCCTATGGGTCACCAAAGCAACCACTTACTTAATCGCATCTACAAAAAAAAACTTGGGAGGATGTTCTCCTTCATTGCTTAGCATGTAATAAATCAGGGTAATGCATGATGCATGGGTATTGATATGATTATAATTAATACATCATATTTATCTATTATTACTATATGACAAATGGTTAGTGATAAATTTAATAAGTAATACCTGATTAACCACTGGATATACACCAGTGGCCCTCATATTCAACTCCTTGAGATGCTTGAGAGTAAAATTAGAAACACCAATGGAATTTACGCAGCCTTCGTCATATAGATCCACCATTCCTCGCCAAGTACTCGCTCGCAACTTAGCATTTCTCAGGTCGCCAGAAGGAAGCCTTGCAGCACCGGGGAAGTGGATCAAAAACAGGTCAATATAATCCACACCGAGATTGTGTAAAGACTTCTGGTAAGCTTGCTTTATCACAGCTGAGTTACCATGTTCTGATGGAGCTGAATAAAAGAAATATTTCCACTATTAATTTAAAACCTTGATCATTGTTGATTATAATTTTGTCAGTTATCTTCAGTTATTACCATAATAATAAATACATACATTTTGTAATAAGTTATATGGAATGAGATGAGATTCTCTAAGTGTAAAGAATGTACTGAAGTATGACTGATACATAATTACAAGTTATAAAGTGACACAAGAGTTATTATAGAAATGATATACTCACATAATTTCGTGGTAATAAATATATCTTCTCTTTCCAAATTATACTTAGGGAGCAATTTTCTAAAAGCATCACCCAGAGCCCCCTCGTTGCCATATACTGCTGCAGTATCTGTACCAAAACATGAAAAACTTTGTTTCATTACTGTCAGGTCTTTACATACTATATATACTATGTAAGATCTTTACCACTTTATATAAGAAAATAGAAATAAGAAATGTTGACAAAAGGTAAAAATATTTGTGATTAAAGAAAATTTATTTTCTCAAAAGTAATACATTATTTCACATACAAAAGGATTGAAATTGTGTGTTAATATATATTTACCAAATAAACGATAACCAGCTGCCAGAGCTTCATCCACAGTCTGCATTATAACATCGGGTTGGCGCACCCTATATGTGCCCACTGCAAAAGATTTTCATTTCATTATCAATTATTAGCTTTATTCATAATGTTTGTTTGTTTATTGTAGGTACAAATTGTTTTACTAATTTTTTTAACTTTAGAATAACTTAATTTCTTTATTTTTAAAATAATTTAATTCAATTAAAATTACAATGGTAAAATCAGTATCTGTATAAAAAACTGTAAAACTAAAAGGAACTTCTTTTTGTAAAAAACTTTTTTAAACTTATCTATCAATGAGCTATGTTTTGTAAAGAGTCCAATGTTTTATGGATCTTTTTTATTTTGATTTTTTTATAATTTACTTAATTTTTGTTTACTGTGTGTTTGTAAGCTCGCAAGATAAACAAACAGCTGTTAAATATATAACACTATAAATCATTGGAATAATAATACTCACATCCAACTGCAGGCAACTTATTGCCGTTGTTGAGCGTAAAGGTCATCGATGAAACCGGAGGCATAACGGCATCCATAGCTTTTCTTCTTGATGCACTTGTACCTAAATTAAAAACATTTAATATAATAAATGAATAATTTAAAACATATATCAACAAAAACATGTGTCAGCAACAACATAAAATCTGTTAAATATTATATAGGTACATTAATATCTCTAACAATAAACCAAATGGGTAAACTATAACATGATGCATGAAGGTACCAATAAATAAACTATCTAAACTAAAAGGAAAGCCATAAGGCACTGAACAAATAAAAATAAAAATACAAAATATAAAATACGAAATACAAATCACGTCACAACAATCGTAAAAATATCGTGCATATACATTTATAAACTAATTAATACCTCGCTTCATTTTTACTAGATATTTCTAAGCGGAAAAATTGTTTGGTTGCAGCGCGCAGAAGTTACCTGTACTTTATTTATAGTTATCGTCGTTGCATTATCGATTGTCCCGGGGGTAGTTTATAAACGTAAACGTAAACGACAATTACGCCCAACAGAACTATCTTGTTTAGTTATCGATTAGTTCACAAGCTTGCAGAAATTAATTAGATGAACATTCAAATTCGGTATTTATCATTTTTCTTCGAATGCTTATTGCAACATAGAGTAATTTAACAGTAAAATACATTAGGATTCTCAAACATTATACCAAAGTTATATACATCCTTATATATTTACATTATTTACTCTTTGGTTTTTGTTATGTATCTCTAGTATATATTCAGTAATCTATGGTTATATAGATTTCTATTAGTGATGTCAAGCGGTTTTATGAAAACCGGTTTTTAAGAAAACCGGTATGTACAATTTATTTTGCATGTCAGCAGCCCGATAACTTAACTCCGTGAATCAGAACCCTAAAGTGTAACAGTGGTCGGGGGTTCCCCGATCAGAGACAAGTGTACAATTCAGTAATTTTCTTTAAAATCAAAGTTTGTGCCATATTTAATTTCCTAAATTAATTATTAGTGCCTTGTTTATAATAAGAAAAAGAACTACAAAAGGTAAATAGCTTTATAATGTTTTGTTTAAATAAAAAAGCAATTTCATGTCAATTTTACCTGTAGTCTAACGTTACCTATTAATTTGGTCTACTTTTTTGGTTTGCAGGATGCCAAAAGTAAAAGGCAAATCTCTCACAAAAAATCATTTTGAGAAATATAATAATAATTCGGCTAAATGTCAGTTATGATAATATGTTGGCTCATCTCAAGAGAAGTCTTCCACAGGTAAAAGTGCCAATCAATCCTGTGGGGCCAGTCTCCAACGTATCCCGCTCACCTCAAATAATACTGACAAAGAGCATCCACGGAAAATCATTATTCAAAGTAAGTTGAAAATGATGATGAGCAGCAACAAAAAAGAATAGATGAATATCTAATATTGATGACCACCACCGATTTCCAACCATTCTCCTCGGTTGAAGATAAAGGCTTCAAAAGGTTTATAGAAGCTTTAAATCCTACCAAAAAAATTAGATATGATTTGATACCCGCTTTATATGCAAAGGTGAAGACACAGCTTGAGAGTTTGTTAAAAAATACAGAATACGTGGCACTAACCACGGTGACGGTACATTTTTTCATGAATTGAATTTGAAGGATTCAGGTTTTGACAACGTTGCAAGTTCCTAATTCGCATACTTCTGAAAATTTTGCAGAAATCATGAAGAACTACATAATAGAATGGAAAGTTCATAACAAAGCTGCTGCTGCTGCTATTGTGACTGATAACCCTTATTATATGAAAAAAAATATGTGAATTGCTTGAGATACGGCACATGCGGTGCTTTCTCCACACACATAATTTAACTGTCGAAGAAACGCTACAGGTGCAGTGGCGAAGCCTCCATACAAGCCCAGAAGCCCGGCTTGCCTTATCAAGCTGAATCAATCAATAATATCAAGTAATAAAATAACTCGTAAACTGTTTCAAACTATTTCAAATTTCCCGCGCGCTCTGTGCGACCTCGTAGCCTTAGGAATACTGCTGTCATACATATAAAGTTATAAAAAGAGTTGAATTGAGCCATTGGTTGTCTCCCTCACGCGGAGCTTTTTACCGGGCTTTCGAGAAGGCGATCGCTCCCTTTCTAACCTGTGGCAAAATGTTCTACAATGAAACTTAACTACGATTGTATAAATAGCAATTAGTATGAAGATAAAAAGCCCGGCTTTTTAGTGACCATCAATTTTTTCCTCAGAGCGGGACGCTTTTTTTGTTTTAACACTTTTGACTGCCTTCTTGATCTAATGGTCGTAAACGCAATTGCTAGTCATGTGGTCCCAAGTTCGAAACCTGAGTCGGGTCAAAAATCATTTATTGGGTTCTTCTGTCACAAAATTCTCAGTAGCAGTAGTATTACACTGGGGCAATATAATCCAGATGCGCATATGGCTATTTTCCGTTGAGAATGGCCTTGTTACCAAAATTAAATCTGAAGCCCTTTAATATAAGTTTATAAATAAAACACATAGGTGTTTGAATCTTTTAATGATCTAAAGTGAATTCTGAATATCAAATAAATACTAATTGGAAATAACTTACGTTATTTGATAATTTATTGTAGATTAATTAAAAATTGTCACTTCGTACCTTTAAATTCAAAAGTGTAGCTTTACAGAATAATCACGTAAACTATACAAGCAATGCTGGCAAACCTGGTACGCGCGGTGTCACAATGATGGCACGGGTAACAGGGTTTGCATGATTATCACGCTTTTGTTTGTCAAATCGGGACATTTTTACGTATTTCGGGGACAGCGCGACACAAACCTTTAAACCGGGAACGTCCTGCCTAAAGGGGGAAGTATAGTCACGTTAGGTATGAAGTTAGTCGAGACACGGAGGCGCGCGGGCGTGCTGACGATATGTTTGCAAGTTCACGTCAAATTTCAATGTTTACATTGTGTGTTAGCTTGAGCGAATATATTATAATCAGAGTAAATGTATTCTGTGATTATAATGTAAAATATTGTGAGTTGAAAATTTATACTTTTTTAAAGATTTTTAGTGAAAATGGAGGGAAAGAGTGTTCTTTGTGATGAATATAAGTGTGTTAAAGTGCTAATTGGCGAGGAAAATGTTCTTTAAAATGGTTCTTTAAAAATTAAATTTTAATTCAATAAACATTTCTTCACACTTTAATAGATAGGTACAGGGCTCTTTAGTATTAAAGTTTAATTATTCTAGGCGTATTCAAAGGTTTAATAACTCAATACTTATATTACCATATGAGTTAAAAATATTATTTTGAACTGCAGCATAAAATATGAGATACCTAGGTATAAGTTTAATTTTATAGCAAATAATTGTTACAATCTTTTTTTTAATGTGAAGCCCAAATTTTAATTTAATAAATTAAATGAATACATCATGTAATGAGGTTTTTAAAAATATTTCCTTTAGTCTTCATTTAAATTTTAATAGCGCCATCTACTTAATTATATAGGTGAAGTCATTATATCGAATGAAAATGGATTGATTCTACGGTCATACAACCTATCTAGCAGTAGTATGCCTTCTGTGTGCTTTGTTAAACACGTCCTCGACAGCAGTGAATATGAAACTAAAGAGTGGAGACAGATCAAGATTGGTGTATTTTTATAAAACTGCTAAAACAACAAAACCATATCTTGGGTTTGCCCTAGTTTAGAGCCCTAGCTTCGCCACTGTAAAGATGGTACAGGTGGAACGAGTTATCAATAAATACAAAGCATTTTTGAATTTTTTCAAGAAGTCGACTGTTGCATGGCGTGCGCTGAAATCAGAACGGAAAAAGGAAATCCTAATGCTCAGCCACCACCAGCCAGCCACCAGCCACAGATATTACCAAACGTTGGAACAGCAAATTTTATATGATGACCAGAATACAAAAATTGTCAAATGAACTGGCACTGGTATACTGAAAAGTAAATCAGTCACCAGAATTCCTCAATTCTTCTGCAGAAAAAAATGTCAAAAATGTGGTAAATATTTTAGGAATATTTTAAAACGCAACCAAATTGGTGAGTGATGACCAATACCCAACGAGTTCTTTAGTGATTCCCGTAATTTGCAGATTATTTGAAAACTTCAACACTATCGAAATATTACTGGAAATATATGTAAGCAAGATGTTCTGCTCAGCAGTACGGCGTAATATAAACAGCAGATTGTTGCCCTACGAAACAAGAACAGACACAAATTTCTACATATTTGCATCTAATCTTAAGGACCGGCTTTTGTCAACCTGAAAATAAGTTATCTGCTAAAGATCGGATGAATTAGAAGTTGGGGAGTCCGATACTGGACTCCAATAACAAAACGGATGCTCCATCCTCTCATTCAATACTACAGGTGGCAACAAGGAAGCCGGGAATTTCGGACTTCTTAAAATAAAGAAGAACTGAGAGTGATGTTCCAAACGCGACTGTTGTGCAGTAAACATAAACAAAATAGCAGCAGCACAAGCAGAAACCGAGACTGAGCCTTGGTGGGAAGGCAAACATAGAGAAGTCGTTGGCACTTACTGGGAAACCAATAAACATTTGGCACCACTTAATAATATGGCTTTAAAATATCTGTCAGTGCCAGTGACTTCTGTACTTTCGGAACGAATGTTTTCAACTTCCGGATATTTCTTGTCATCGCGAAGGAACAGGTTACTAGGTGATACAGTAGATCAACTTTGTTATATCCACCAAAACTATGACTTGATTAAGTTAAAGTAAAATTTACAGCCTATATACGTCCCACTGCTGGCACAGGCCTCCCCTCATTTCTGAGAGGGCAATGAATGAATTAATTAATTAATCAAAAATAATGATAACTTTTTATTAAATAAAGATTAAAAAGAATTAAAAAAAATCAAGTTTTTCATTATTATATGGATCCTAAGAAACCAAAAAAACTGTTTTTTAAATTACTAATCGGTTTTCATCGGTGCTGAAAATTGAAATCGGTTCCATCACTAATTGCTATAATAACCACATATACTTCTGTTACACTACCCTGTATCAAGCTCCCTATGCCCTGATTCAGGGTGGTGTAATAAGAGAAAGGGAGTAAGGGTCCCTAATTAGGGCGACAAAGTGCACCCTGTCTGCAGTGCCCTTGCCACCGTGTAGTGTAATAACACTTAGGGTAGTTAGGGATGAAAACGATACATCAATTGTTTCGAACATCGATATATCGTTCATAAATATGGTTATTCATGAGCGATGTTTTATGAAAGATGTTTTGGCTTGCCGTCAAAGGTTTCGAAACAACCAACTATTTGAAGGTATAAAATTCCGTATGTTAAAAGTTGCAAACGATAATTATCACGAATCTTATATCGCCGAAAAATAAATATACCAAAAAAATATATCTCAAAGTTAGATAATGTCTAATTTTTAAGCTATTGCATAGCTTCTATCGCGGGCCTTGA